GAGGGGGCTGGCAGAAGTGTGGAGGGACGCGGGAAGGAAGGACCGGGTGATAGCTTCCCTGGGTCAACAGCTGCTGCTGCTGCTGCAGCCTGGTGTGGTTGGGGGTAACCCTTCTGCTGCTGCTGCTGGTGCGACTGCTGCTGCTTCTGTGGGCGATGCTGCTACCGGTGCTGCTGCTGCTGGTAGTGGTGGGACGTGTGGTGGGTGTATGACTATCCAGCAGGAGCGGAAGGAGCAGAAGGAGCAGCAGGAGCAGCAGGAGCAGCAGCAGTCGGGCATGTCTGTGTGCGAGCTAGTCGCTCTGCTACAGAGGCGAGCCAAACGTGCGGAGAAGCAGGCAGAGCGAAGGATAGCAGTGCATGCAGCACAGGCAACACCCGCAGCACTCGCAGCACCGGCAGCACGGGCAACACCTGCAGCACACACAGCACACGAAACGCTGATTCTTACAAAGGGACTCCTCTCCCAAGAGCAGAAGGAGCAGAAGGAGCAGAAGGAGCAGAAGGAGCAGAAGGAGCAGAAGGAGCAGAAGGACCCAGCAGGTGGGGCAGCGGTGCTAGTCGGGGCAGCTGGGGACCAGTTGGTGAGGCGGAATGTGGTGGAGAGAGGTTCAGAGGGAGACAGAGGCGGGAAGAGGGGGGGTGGAGGAAGAGAGGGGGGTGATATCGGTCGAGGGAAGGTGGGGGGTGAAAGGGTGGGTGGTGGGAGTGTGGCTGGTGGGAGGGCGGGTGGTGGAAGGCAAGGGGTGGGGATGATGCGGGGAGGAGGGGGAGTGGAGAAGGGTTGTGTGCGGCGAGTGGTGTTCTGGGGAGAGAATGGTGTGGGCAGAAGGGGTCGGCTGGGGGGGTTAGTGAAGGGATGGGTGGTGGAGGGCGGTGGGGATGGGTGGGGAGGGGGAGGGAGAGGTGGAGGAAGGGGAGTGCGTGGTGGAGGGATGAGAGTGGGAGTTGCTATAGGGGGAGGAGATGGGAGTGCGAAGGGTGGTGGAAGGAGAAGGGAGGCGGATGCGAGGTATTGTGCGTCAGTGGTGCAGTCAAGGCGAGAGATGCAGGAGCAGCAACAGAAGCAGCAGCAGAAGCAGCAGGAGAAGCAGCAGGAGAAACAGCAGGAGAAGCTGCACCAGGTGAAGCAACACGTGGGAGGAGCGGGAGGGAGGGAGAGTGCGAGTGCAGGGAACAGCGTTGGCAGCAGTAAAGTCAAAAGCAGCATGGGCAGTAGTAGTGGTGGAAGCAGCAGCAGGGGAAGGGGCAGCAGAAGAAGCAGCAGGCAAAGCAGCAGCAGCAGCGTGAGCAGCAGCGGCAGTGCTAGCGCTCACTATTCCCATGTAGACGGAGAGGGGAGCAGGGGGTCTTGTTCGGTGGAGAGTGGTGGAGAGGGGAGTTGTGGAAGTGTGGGTCAAGCTGGCAGCAGTGGCAGCAACGGCGGTAGCGGTGGTGACATTGGCAGTGGCAGGAGGGGTGGTGGGATGAGTGAAGAGAGAGGGCAGCGTTTTAGAAGCAGCAGAAGCAGGAGCGGTAGTAGCAGTAACAGCAGCTGCAGAAGCAGCAGAGAGACGTGCAGTGGTGGGCTACACAGTGATGACTCTCAAGCAGCACAGGCTGGCAGCAGCAGCAGCAGAGACGGCAGCAGAGGACGCAGCAGGAGCAGCTGCAGCAACAGCAGCAGCAGCAGCAGCAGCAGCAGCAGCAGGAGACCGTATGATGCATGGGAGTCTGCTACCTCTCGTCTGACTGCTGCTACAGCCGCTCTTTCAGAAGAAGAGACCGGATCAGGTGGGGAGGGAAGCAATGGGGAGCGCAGGCAGAACGGAAAGGCATCAGGGGAAGTCTCTGAGGCGGTGTGGGTGCGGAGCGGTAGAGGGGAGGAGCAGGTGACGTTTGAGGCGACTCAGAAGCCTGGGGTGCTATTGGGCGAAGGAGTATTGAGAGAGAGGAGCAAGGGGAGAGGTGAGCCGGAAGGGGCTGAGACTGATGCCGATTTTACTCAAAGAGCGGCGCAGGCTGGAGAAGGAGGAGGAGGAGGAGGAGGAGGAGCAGGAGTAGCTGTGGAGCACATGTGCAGTGACGAGGAGGTGAGGAGAGGGGTGGAGGAGCTGATAGGAGACGTGGTGGGGTGGGTGTGGCGCGAGAGAGAGGCAGAGGAGGCTGGTTGTGTGCGTGGGGAGGGGCTGGGACACTGGGAGGGTGTGCCGCAAGGTGAGAGTGTGCGGCATTTGAGAGAAGATGGAGGAGCAGAGTGGTTGGAGGGAGGTGGCGAGGAGGGTGAGGAGAGGGAGCAGGTAGTGGTGGTGGCGGGTGTAGGAGAGAGAGAGAGAGTACTGGGTTGGGGATTGGAGGGAGGGGAAGGGGAGTGGGGAGATGAAGAGGTAGTGGGGGTGGGTGAGGACAGTAGCTGCAGTGGAGAAGAGTGGGAGACGGATTGCAGTGAGGAAGAGGGAGGAGAGAGAGAGGAGTGGGAGGAAAGGGAGGAGTGGGAGGAGTGGGAAGGGGAGGGGGAGTGGAAGGAGGGAGAGGAAGAAGAGAGGGATCAGGATGAGGAGGTTCTGGTGGGAGAGGAGAGTGGGGAAGGTGAGAGCAGTTGTAACGAAGAAAGTGGGGGCTTGGATGGGGCCAGGAACAGGGCTGGCAACGACAGCTACACAAATGACAGCTGCAGAAATGGCAGCAGTGGAAGCAGCATCAGTGGAATCAGCAGCGGCAGGAAGCTGGGAATGTGCACGAGTGGGAGGAGGAGGGGGAGGAGGAGGCGAAAAGGGGGGCAGGGGGGGATCAGGTTGATGGAAGTGACACTAGCGGATGTGCTTCAAGAGGAGGACAGGTAAGCTCATGCCTGGTGCGATTGCCGGATTTGTGGAGGAGGAACGGGGATGGAGGGATACTGGAAAGGGGGAGGCAGAGTAAAGGAGAGGGGAGAGTTACGGGACTGGTAGTTGGATGGGCAGGAATAGGGGGGTGGGGAAGGGAGGAAGCAGGGTGAAAGGGAGAAGGGAAGTGGGAGATTCTGGGATTGTGTTTCGTGTTGCGCTTGCCACTCTGTTTGTGTTCCCTCACTTACGCTCTTTCTCATCTCCGTGTGTCTCTCTGTGTATCTCAGATTGACCGGCCTGAATGGGAGTTTATCAGCAGGCAGCGCGGACTGGGTACTGTTGGAAGCAGCGCCAGAGGAGGCAGCGGCAGCAACAGCAGAGACAGCGGAGTCAGCAGCAGGGTTGGGTCACGGTCACGAGGGCGTGGCAGCAGTGGGGGATGAGAGGAAGGTGCGGATGAGGATGCAGCAGGTGGAAGGTGGAGAGGCGGAGCCTGATCAAGCAGGTCTCAGAGAGGTTGGTGAAAAGAAAGCCTCGGGTCAATATGTCAGGTTCATGGACGTGCCTATTGTTGGGTTCATGGACGTGCCTAATGTTGGGGTTGTGACTCTTTTGGGTGGCGTTGAAGCTACTCAAGATACTCATTCGGATGACCACATTCACCCGGTTCCTGCCACCGCCTCTGCAACGCACCGTGCTGACCCCAGCCGCAGCAGTTTGCAACAGACAGGAGCGACGCCGCTGCTGCTGCCGGTGGAAGGTGCGCCAGTGGCTGCACAGCTGTCAGTATCGGGCGCTCTCGGTGCGCTTGGTGTGCTACTGAGGGGAACAAGCACTCCAGTGCTCCTGGAGGGTGCTGCTGCGTCGCTGGAAGCTGCGCCTGCGCCTGTGGCTGCACGGCTGTCTGATGCTCTTGGTGCTCTCGGTGCGAGTGGTGTGTTCCTGAGAGGAGCCAGCAGCGCTCCAGTCCTCCTGGAGGGTGCTGCTGCGTCTGTGGGTCCTTCTCAGCCAGGCTCTCTCCTAATTCCCCTAGAGAGCCCCGTTCTGGAGGCTAGCGAGGGAGGGATGGGAGAGGCTAGGGGTGGTGTATCCTTGAAAATGGCTTCGCCGTTTGCAGCAGACGAAACAGCAGTGGGAGCAGCAGCAGCAGCAGCAGGAGGAGGAGGAGGTGGGCTAGCAGGAAAGAGGGGGAGAGGAGGAAGAAGGGAGGTTGGGAACAAGAAAGGGCCCTCAGGGGACGGCCTGTCAAGGGTGCTGCCGCCTTCCTCCTCTAGCAGGGGACGGCCTCCTCGCCCCGTTGCTGTGCGGCCTCGTTCCTGTGACTCGCTGCAGCATGCTCTTAGGTAGACTGACATGACACTGAGGTAGAGAAAGCCGAAGGGCCAGGAGGACTCTGGGTCCATGCAAAGGGCCCCGGCCCCCGGCCCGGGCCAGCTCACACCACCCCGAGAACTCCAGGGCTGTATATTCTACGGTAGGATGGGATGTCTTCAAAACTGGAGGGGAGGTGAGGGGAGAGGAAGGGGGGGAGATGATGCGGGTGAAAGGGGTGAGAGAGGTGAGAGGGAGAAGGAGTGGGGTAGGGAGGGAAGGGGAAGATTGTGGGGAGAGGAGGGGAGGAACGCAGGTGAGAAGGGGGGGAAGGGTGCCGGGGGGGATGCTGAGGCAGGGACAACAAGCGTATGCGAATTCTCATCAGGAGAAACAGAATCAGGCTGAGAAGCAGGGGCAGACGCAAGGGCGGAAACAGCAGGCACAGAAGCAGGGGCAGAAGCAGCATCCACAGGACCAGGCACACACAGGCTTGGCACACGCAGGCTTGGCACACGCAGGCTTGGCACACGCAGGCTCGCCACACGCAGGCTTGGCACGCGCAGGCTTGGTACCTGCAGGTTCGTCAGGGCGGGTGAGGGAGCTGGAGCAGAGGGTGAGAGGGAAGGAGGCCGCGATAGTGCAGGCAGCAGGGGTGGCGGGGAGGGGGCTGGCAGAAGTGTGGAGGGACGCGGGAAGGAAGGACCGGGTGATAGCTTCCCTGGGTCAACAGCTGCTGCTGCTGCTGCAGCCTGGTGTGGTTGGGGGTAACCCTTCTGCTGCTGCTGCTGGTGCGACTGCTGCTGCTTCTGTGGGCGATGCTGCTACCGGTGCTGCTGCTGCTGGTAGTGGTGGGACGTGTGGTGGGTGTATGACTATCCAGCAGGAGCGGAAGGAGCAGAAGGAGCAGCAGGAGCAGCAGGAGCAGCAGCAGTCGGGCATGTCTGTGTGCGAGCTAGTCGCTCTGCTACAGAGGCGAGCCAAACGTGCGGAGAAGCAGGCAGAGCGAAGGATAGCAGTGCATGCAGCACAGGCAACACCCGCAGCACTCGCAGCACCGGCAGCACGGGCAACACCTGCAGCACACACAGCACACGAAACGCTGATTCTTACAAAGGGACTCCTCTCCCAAGAGCAGAAGGAGCAGAAGGAGCAGAAGGAGCAGAAGGAGCAGAAGGAGCAGAAGGAGCAGAAGGACCCAGCAGGTGGGGCAGCGGTGCTAGTCGGGGCAGCTGGGGACCAGTTGGTGAGGCGGAATGTGGTGGAGAGAGGTTCAGAGGGAGACAGAGGCGGGAAGAGGGGGGGTGGAGGAAGAGAGGGGGGTGATATCGGTCGAGGGAAGGTGGGGGGTGAAAGGGTGGGTGGTGGGAGTGTGGCTGGTGGGAGGGCGGGTGGTGGAAGGCAAGGGGTGGGGATGATGCGGGGAGGAGGGGGAGTGGAGAAGGGTTGTGTGCGGCGAGTGGTGTTCTGGGGAGAGAATGGTGTGGGCAGAAGGGGTCGGCTGGGGGGGTTAGTGAAGGGATGGGTGGTGGAGGGCGGTGGGGATGGGTGGGGAGGGGGAGGGAGAGGTGGAGGAAGGGGAGTGCGTGGTGGAGGGATGAGAGTGGGAGTTGCTATAGGGGGAGGAGATGGGAGTGCGAAGGGTGGTGGAAGGAGAAGGGAGGCGGATGCGAGGTATTGTGCGTCAGTGGTGCAGTCAAGGCGAGAGATGCAGGAGCAGCAACAGAAGCAGCAGCAGAAGCAGCAGGAGAAGCAGCAGGAGAAACAGCAGGAGAAGCTGCACCAGGTGAAGCAACACGTGGGAGGAGCGGGAGGGAGGGAGAGTGCGAGTGCAGGGAACAGCGTTGGCAGCAGTAAAGTCAAAAGCAGCATGGGCAGTAGTAGTGGTGGAAGCAGCAGCAGGGGAAGGGGCAGCAGAAGAAGCAGCAGGCAAAGCAGCAGCAGCAGCGTGAGCAGCAGCGGCAGTGCTAGCGCTCACTATTCCCATGTAGACGGAGAGGGGAGCAGGGGGTCTTGTTCGGTGGAGAGTGGTGGAGAGGGGAGTTGTGGAAGTGTGGGTCAAGCTGGCAGCAGTGGCAGCAACGGCGGTAGCGGTGGTGACATTGGCAGTGGCAGGAGGGGTGGTGGGATGAGTGAAGAGAGAGGGCAGCGTTTTAGAAGCAGCAGAAGCAGGAGCGGTAGTAGCAGTAACAGCAGCTGCAGAAGCAGCAGAGAGACGTGCAGTGGTGGGCTACACAGTGATGACTCTCAAGCAGCACAGGCTGGCAGCAGCAGCAGCAGAGACGGCAGCAGAGGACGCAGCAGGAGCAGCTGCAGCAACAGCAGCAGCAGCAGCAGCAGCAGCAGGAGACCGTATGATGCATGGGAGTCTGCTACCTCTCGTCTGACTGCTGCTACAGCCGCTCTTTCAGAAGAAGAGACCGGATCAGGTGGGGAGGGAAGCAATGGGGAGCGCAGGCAGAACGGAAAGGCATCAGGGGAAGTCTCTGAGGCGGTGTGGGTGCGGAGCGGTAGAGGGGAGGAGCAGGTGACGTTTGAGGCGACTCAGAAGCCTGGGGTGCTATTGGGCGAAGGAGTATTGAGAGAGAGGAGCAAGGGGAGAGGTGAGCCGGAAGGGGCTGAGACTGATGCCGATTTTACTCAAAGAGCGGCGCAGGCTGGAGAAGGAGGAGGAGGAGGAGGAGGAGGAGCAGGAGTAGCTGTGGAGCACATGTGCAGTGACGAGGAGGTGAGGAGAGGGGTGGAGGAGCTGATAGGAGACGTGGTGGGGTGGGTGTGGCGCGAGAGAGAGGCAGAGGAGGCTGGTTGTGTGCGTGGGGAGGGGCTGGGACACTGGGAGGGTGTGCCGCAAGGTGAGAGTGTGCGGCATGTGAGAGAAGATGGAGGAGCAGAGTGGTTGGAGGGAGGTGGCGAGGAGGGTGAGGAGAGGGAGCAGGTAGTGGTGGTGGCGGGTGTAGGAGAGAGAGAGAGAGTACTGGGTTGGGGATTGGAGGGAGGGGAAGGGGAGTGGGGAGATGAAGAGGTAGTGGGGGTGGGTGAGGACAGTAGCTGCAGTGGAGAAGAGTGGGAGACGGATTGCAGTGAGGAAGAGGGAGGAGAGAGAGAGGAGTGGGAGGAAAGGGAGGAGTGGGAGGAGTGGGAAGGGGAGGGGGAGTGGAAGGAGGGAGAGGAAGAAGAGAGGGATCAGGATGAGGAGGTTCTGGTGGGAGAGGAGAGTGGGGAAGGTGAGAGCAGTTGTAACGAAGAAAGTGGGGGCTTGGATGGGGCCAGGAACGGGGCTGGCAACGACAGCTACACAAATGACAGCTGCAGAAATGGCAGCAGTGGAAGCAGCATCAGTGGAATCAGCAGCGGCAGGAAGCTGGGAATGTGCACGAGTGGGAGGAGGAGGGGGAGGAGGAGGCGAAAAGGGGGGCAGGGGGGGATCAGGTTGATGGAAGTGACACTAGCGGATGTGCTTCAAGAGGAGGACAGGTAAGCTCATGCCTGGTGCGATTGCCGGATTTGTGGAGGAGGAACGGGGATGGAGGGATACTGGAAAGGGGGAGGCAGAGTAAAGGAGAGGGGAGAGTTACGGGACTGGTAGTTGGATGGGCAGGAATAGGGGGGTGGGGAAGGGAGGAAGCAGGGTGAAAGGGAGAAGGGAAGTGGGAGATTCTGGGATTGTGTTTCGTGTTGCGCTTGCCACTCTGTTTGTGTTCCCTCACTTACGCTCTTTCTCATCTCCGTGTGTCTCTCTGTGTGTCTCAGATTGACCGGCCTGAATGGGAGTTTATCAGCAGGCAGCGCGGACTGGGTACTGTTGGAAGCAGCGCCAGAGGAGGCAGCGGCAGCAACAGCAGAGACAGCGGAGTCAGCAGCAGGGTTGGGTCACGGTCACGAGGGCGTGGCAGCAGTGGGGGATGAGAGGAAGGTGCGGATGAGGATGCAGCAGGTGGAAGGTGGAGAGGCGGAGCCTGATCAAGCAGGTCTCAGAGAGGTTGGTGAAAAGAAAGCCTCGGGTCAATATGTCGGGTTCATGGACGTGCCTATTGTTGGGTTCATGGACGTGCCTAATGTTGGGGTTGTGACTCTTTTGGGTGGCGTTGAAGCTACTCAAGATACTCATTCGGATGACCACATTCACCCGGTTCCTGCCACCGCCTCTGCAACGCACCGTGCTGACCCCAGCCGCAGCAGTTTGCAACAGACAGGAGCGACGCCGCTGCTGCTGCCGGTGGAAGGTGCGCCAGTGGCTGCACAGCTGTCAGTATCGGGCGCTCTCGGTGCGCTTGGTGTGCTACTGAGGGGAACAAGCACTCCAGTGCTCCTGGAGGGTGCTGCTGCGTCGCTGGAAGCTGCGCCTGCGCCTGTGGCTGCACGGCTGTCTGATGCTCTTGGTGCTCTCGGTGCGAGTGGTGTGTTCCTGAGAGGAGCCAGCAGCGCTCCAGTCCTCCTGGAGGGTGCTGCTGCGTCTGTGGGTCCTTCTCAGCCAGGCTCTCTCCTAATTCCCCTAGAGAGCCCCGTTCTGGAGGCTAGCGAGGGAGGGATGGGAGAGGCTAGGGGTGGTGTATCCTTGAAAATGGCTTCGCCGTTTGCAGCAGACGAAACAGCAGTGGGAGCAGCAGCAGCAGCAGCAGGAGGAGGAGGAGGTGGGCTAGCAGGAAAGAGGGGGAGAGGAGGAAGAAGGGAGGTTGGGAACAAGAAAGGGCCCTCAGGGGACGGCCTGTCAAGGGTGCTGCCGCCTTCCTCCTCTAGCAGGGGACGGCCTCCTCGCCCCGTTGCTGTGCGGCCTCGTTCCTGTGACTCGCTGCAGCATGCACTTAGGTAGACTGACATGACACTGAGGTAGAGAAAGCCGAAGGGCCAGGAGGACTCTGGGTCCATGCAAAGGGCCCCGGCCCCCGGCCCGGGCCAGCTCACACCACCCCGAGAACTCCAGGGCTGTATATTCTACGGTAGGATGGGATGTCTTCAAAACTGGTACGGCGTGGTAGTGGTCGCTGTGATTCAAATGCTGACTGAACAATAATACAAAATCCCCCAGTCTTGTACATTTGCCAGGAGCGGGCATGCCAGGTATAAAAGTGAAAGAATGCTTTTTGACTAGCCATGATAGGCAAGAACTTGGGTAAGAGTGCTTGCTACCGGTACTGTACAGGGAACCAGGCTACCACTGTATCTGGTGCATACAGCTGCAAACCAGAAAAGCTACAGCCCAGCCAGAGGCTAGCACTTCTCCTCAGATGAAGCGTGCAGGTGGTGCGGGTGGGAGAGCCAGAGCGACCAGAGCGGGTCGCAGGAGAGAGTGGCCCGGCTGCCAACCACCAGCAGGCCTCTTTTGAGACGTCTCAAGTGCCTGCTTTAGAAGCTAGCGCTTTTCCCCTGATGAAGCAGATGAGGCGTGCAGGTGGTGCAGGTGGGCGAGCCAGAGCGACCAGAGCGGGTCGCAGGAGAGAGTGCTACGGCTGCCGACCACCAGCAGGCCTCTCCTTGCGCGTGTGACGGCCACGTTCAGCCGCCGTGCGTCTGCCACAAAGCCTATGCGCCCCTCGGGGTTAGATCGCACTGTGGACACTATGATCACCTGGTGTGTGGGCACGAGACAGGCATGGGGGATGGGCGGATGGATTGTGGCGTAGAGCGTTTGTAAGAATGAGAGAGACAAGGCGGCAAGAATAGCCTATGCGCCGCTCGGGGTTGGAGCGCACTGTGGACACTATGATCACCTGGTGGGTCCGGGGGGGTGGAGGGGAGCGGGGAGAGTGGGGGAATGGAGAGGGGTAGAGGAGGGAGCGGGTAGTAAGGTGTGTGGAACAGAAGGGCCCTTGGGGTTGGATCGCACTGTGGACATTATGATCACCTGGTGTGGGGTTAGGCATGGGCGCAGGGTTAAAGGGAGAGAGGCCAGCAAACTCTAGACCCCGCCTCACCTCTGTTCTCCCTCCCCTGCTGCCTCACCTCTCTCCGCCGTCCCCTGCCTCACCTCCTTCTCGCGACCTTGAAACCCGTCCACTGTCTTCACCTCCACGTCTTCCAGATCCACCTTCGCCAACCGCACTCCACCCCGCCCCACCGCCCTGCTCCCCTCCCCTCCCCAGCCCTGAGCTTCCCTCTGCAGCATGCCTCGAATGAGATTCACCTATGCGGTTATGCCAAGGCAGGCAGGAAGAAAGGGCGGAAAACGAGAGGGAAGAGAAGGATGGAAGGAATGAGTTAGGCCTTGTGGGGCGCAGAGGATGTGTTGTTGTGGAGGACTGTGGTGAACCTCTGAGGCTCCTCAAGAATACGAGCGAGTGAGAGCGAGGTATGGTCTGCCGCATTGCTGAGCTGCCGTGGTGCGTTGACTGCCAAGAGGGCTGCATGGGTGGGTGATGGCGGCTTTTGAGGAGGAGAAAATAGCAGGGCAGGGATGTTGTGAGTCGTGACCCACCCACTCCATGCATACACAAGCAGCGGATGGGGGTACATGCGTGCATGTGTGCGTGTGTTGCTGCGATATCCGTGTCACAAGTGCAACTGCAAGTGCGCAAGTGCACACACACACCTGTGCTCTGTATGGTGTGATGATCCCGATGTCTTCACACCCCTTGGCCATGCCACCAGCAGACAGCAGACTCTTCACCAGCGCAACCACCTGGGCGCAAACGGACACGTCATTGGACACCACGGCCATGCGTCAACAGAGCCAGTGTGGTGGAAGCACACACATACACACACAATCAAGAAGGGGCCGATTAGTACAATGCCACACAAGTGGACGAGAAACGGAGGTTGAAGCTTGAAAATCACCTCCATTTTCACTTCCGCCCCATTCCTTCCCCCCTATCCATTCCCCCAACTTTCCCACCCATGCCTCCCATCCAACACGGCCCCTCTCCCACCTGCTCCGCCTCTGCAGCATTCATCCACGATGTGGAGTCCCCTGGACTCTCCTCCAGTCATGTAAACAGGGCGAGCTGAAGGTTGGAAAAAACCTTCGGCATAAAACCGACAGTAGCGTGTAAACGTGTTGTTCTCTCACCTGCTCAGCTTCAGCAGCATTCATCCACGACGTGGAGTCTCCCGGACTCTCCTCCAGTGACTCGCGTGCCACCGTGGTGGCGGTGGTGGTAGTAGGGGTGGTGGTGGTGGCGGTGCTGCTGGTGGTGGTGCGTTTGCTGCTTGGCGCTGCAACGCCATTGCAGTCTATGAACGCGATGGGGTGGGCGGGGCTGGGCCAGGGGAAGCTGAGTCGGGGGGATGTGGAGGGGGAAGGGAAGGCGAGGGAGGGGTGGGGAAGTTAGGAGGGAGGGAAAGAGGAAGGACGAGAAGGGAAGGGAAGGAAAGGGGGGGGGGAAGGCAAGGATGCAACAAGGTGTTGCAGACGAAGCAGATGAACAGACTAATCTGAAACTAGAGTGCTGATATTTCTGCAGAAAGAGGAAAGAAGAGGATTATTTTTTTAGGCGCCTCAAAAGTAAACTAATCTGACACTAGAGTGATGATATTTCTGCAAAGGGAGGAAAAAAAAGGAAAGAAGACCAGGAAGGGAGAGAAGCAGGCAGAGGCAGGAGAGGGAGGGCAGAGAGAAGAGAAGCACTCACCCTGGAGGGGCAGGTCGGTCTTGTGGAGTGGGGAAGGAGAGGAGGCGGTGGGAGTAGAAGATAGCCGAGGGGAACGCTGCTATGGACGGGTGCATGCTGGCAGGCGTGGGGAGGAGAGGAGAGGACGCAAAGAGAGAAACAGGGAGCGAACTGAAGGGTGGGTAGGTAGGAAAATCAAGAGAAGGGAGAGCTGAGGCGAGCTGGAGGTGTGACCAGTTTTGAGGAGCCTAAAAAAACGAGGCGAGCTGGAGGTGTGACCAGTCCGCGTCCTCTGTCCTCCCTTTCTCCTCCTGTCCTTTCTCCCTGCACATGCCGGTTTTTGAATCGATTAGAGGAAGCTATTCAAGCACGTACGGTAGTGTGTGTCTAGCAGCATGGGATCGCCCACGAGCAGCAGCTGTTGCAGCAGCAGCAGTGAGAGGAATGTGGGAGAGACCCATCGTACCGGTACTGTGTGTCGAGCAGCAGTGGCTGCAAGCCGTGGCTCTGCAGGCGCGAGAACAGCGGCACGTCCAGCCCTAGCTGGGGAGGTCACGTGGAGGGGAGGGAGGAAAAGGCCTGGTCAGGTGAGAGGACATACCAGTACTGTGTGTGTGGAGTGCTCACACACACACACACATGGCATGTGAGCCGGGTAAATTTGCATCACTTTTGGAAATTGTTCAAAAGTTACACTGTAGCATACATTCCATGTAAGGGCAGTGATGTTGGCCTATGGCCTGCCAGCGCACACATGTACACAGCCACAGCAACAGGCAAGCATACGCATACCTGCATGGCCCTCTGATGGATTCATGGGGTACGAACGATGGTTTTGACACGGTTCTGATAGACTATTTCCATTGCGTCTGCCCCTCTCACCACCCACCCAACACCCACCCACCACCCACCCACCACACCAGCCACCACACCAGCCACCAAACCACCCCCACCCACCCGCAAACAGGCAGTGGGAGGCCCGTTGTTTCACCCACCCACCTGCAGGGCGCGTTGTGAAACGACAGTGGGCGGCAGCTGCATGGGATCACCCACAAGCACCACACTGCACTACTCCTCCTGATAACCAGGATGCCTTTTGGGTGGACTCAACAGTTACCTGCAGGGCGCGTTGTGAAACGACAGTGGGTGGCAGCTGCATGGGATCGCCCACAAGCACCACACTGCTCGCCCTGCTGGCCAGGATGGGGATCAGCGACGCTGGCTCTGTGGACTTGGGAGGTGAGAGGAAGGAAAGGGAGAGGAGAGGAAGGGAGGAAAGGAGGGGGGATAAGAGGAGGATACAAGAGGAGGGTTTTGCGGTACTGGAAGAGAGGTGCTCCGCTCTGCCAGCTAAGATGGGGATCAGCAATGGCAGATTGGTAGATCTAAGATGCTTCACTAGTGAGTGAGTGCTCACCTGCGTGGCTTCATCAATGATACAGAGAGCGAAGGCCGAGGGGTGGCGGCTCAGAAGAATGCTCAGCACAGGGTCTCCTGCACCCACGCACGTTGCTGCTATCACATCCGCCCTGTGCATTGGAGGTAGGGCGGGGGACGTGGTGTGGGGGAGGACAGACACATGGGAAGGAACAGCACATGCATGGTTTGAGGCGCATCAACAGCCGCCCCCACGCATGTTGCTGCTATCACATCCGCCCTGCGCACGGAGAGGTAGGGATGTGGAGGATGCACAGGCAGGGACAGCACATGCATATACGCACAGCACACGCGAGTGGCCTCCTCTGCAGCTCTCCCATCCTCTCCGCCCTATCTTCCCCACACTCCCCTAGCCCCACCTCTCCCCCCTCTCTCCCACACTCATCCACACTGCACCCAACCACCCACCTCTCCATGACATCAAGAGCAGCGGCGTCTTGGCCCTCCCTTCCCCACACTCCCACACCTCTGCCACCTCCCACACCCATGCAGCCTCCTCTGCTGCTCTCCCATCCTCTTGGCCCTCCCTTCCCCACACTCCCCTAGCCCCACTCCCCCCTCTCCCCCGCACTCCCCCCACCCACCCACCCACCCACCCACCCACCCACACACCTCTCCATGACATCAAGAGCAGCGGCGTCTTGAGCAGCCTCTGCCGCCTCCCACACGCGAGTGGCCTCCTGTGCTGCACTCCTGCGCCGCCCCTCGTTCCTCTCCGCCCGGCCCTGCTCCCGTGCTGCCATGGCCTGCTGTCTCAGCTGCACCGCACGCTGTGTGAGAGGGTGGGCCTCCACTAGCGCGTCTAGCGTGCACTGCCGCAGAGACTCTTTTGCCTGTGTGGATGAGGGTGGATAAGGGTTTGATGCATGAGGAGTGCTCCCGCGCTGCCATGACCTGCTGCCGCAGCTGCACTGCTCGCTGTGTGAGAGGGTGGGCCTCCACTAGCGCGTCTAGCGTGCACTGCCGCAGAGACTCCTTGGCCTGTGCGTGTGGATGGGGGTGGAAAAGGGTGTCGGATACAACATTTACCATACAAAATTACTGTTTGATGCGCGTGGGGTGTGCTCCCGTGCTGCCATGGCTTGCTGCCTCAGCTGCACTGCTCGCTGCTCGCGTCTAAAGTGCACTGGCGCAGGGACTCTTTTGCCTGTGGACGGGGGTGGGAAGGTGAGCTTGATGATTCATGGTGCATGGTGTAAAGGCTGCAAACCAGAGCATCAATGCGTGACTTTTGCATGTGACTATGCTGCAACAGTCGATGTAGTCAAAGACTATGCTGCAACAGTCGATGTAGTTTAGTCACATGTCGTAAACTACATCGACTGTTGCACTGCACACAGGGTTACGATGGGCCTTGACCAGCGTTGACTGAAGTTGACAATCAGCGACTGTCCTTGTGCATTGCTGGCAGGCGTTGACTGGCCTTGACCAGCGTTGACTGACTGACCTTGACTGGCTGGCCCAGGCGCACCACGCGCAAGCCCATGCCCAGCAGCCCCTCCACCATGTTATCCACCGCCACGTTGCTGGGGGGGAGAAGAATCGATGGGGGGGGAATCCGGAAGGGGGTGGTGGAAGAAGGGTCAAGGAGAGATGGGATGTGTTTGATGGGGGAAACGCCTCACACACCACCCACAAGCAAGCCCATGCCCAGCAGCCCCTCCACCATGTTATCCACCGCCACGTTGCTGTGGGGGGGAGGGGGGGAAACCGGCGAGGGGGTGGAAGAAGGGTTAAGGAGGGAAGGGGGGTTTGTTTAAGGGGGGAAACGCCTCACACACGCACCACACGCAAGCCCATGCCCAGCAGCCCCTCCACCATGTTATCCACTGCCACGTTGCTGGGTGGGAGAAGAATCAAGAGGAGGAGGGGAGGGGGGTGGGGGGTGTTCAAGGGGGGGACATTGCCCGGTTGCAGGTGCGACCGCTGGATGGGCAATGGGATGAGGGGATGGAAGCATGGGAGGAGAGGAAAGTGGAGATCACAGGTAGCAGAGTGTGGCAGTTTGTGTGTATTTGTGTGTTTGGCATGTTTTGAGAAAGGACTGGTGGGAGACCAACACAACAGCTAACCCCTCCATATGGTTGTTTCCCCGTCCTCACTCACCACTCTTCACCCATCCCCATCTCACCTATCCGCCGCAGCCAACACCTTCCCCACAATCCTTCCTCCCGCGTCTCCTGCCCCTCCTCCCCTCTCCCCTCCTTTCCTCCCTCCACGCCCCCCACCACCACCACCTCTTCCCTCCGCACCCCTCCCCTGTGCACCCGCACCCTCTCCACCCCCCAGCACCCGTCTAGCAAGAGCCATGAGGTGCAGCAGAGTGGCGGTTTTACCCGTCCCAGGAGGCCCCTGCCATAGCGTCACCCTCCTCCCCATCGCCGCTTCTATCGCCACAGCCTGACTCGCGTTCAGCCTCGCCCTTTTCCCCACTCGCTCCCCCTCTCCCGTTCCCTCTCTTCCTCGCTCCCCCTCTCGTTCCCCCTCTCGCTCCCCCTCTCGCGAGCCCTCTCCCTCTCCCCTGCTCTCCCTCTCTGCCTGCATCTCTCGCAACAAGGATCGCACTCGCCCTCTCAACTCTCCCGCTGCCCCGGCTGCTGCTGCCGCTGCTGACTCTGACCCAGAGCTTTTCTTCTTGGTGGATAGCAGCGGGAGAAACCCTGTGGGTGGCCGTTTGGCATATGCGAGGGCTTCTGGGTCTTGTGTGGCTACTCCTACTGCTGCTGCTGCTGTTGCTGTTGTTGGTCCCAATGCTGACTGCCAGTCAAAGGAGTGCGACCCTGCCCTTCTTCCTCCGCCTCTTGCTTTTGCTGCTGCTGCTGCTGCTGCCACTGCTGCCGCCGCCGCAGCCGCCGCCGCTGGTGCTGCTGCCGATGCTGCAGCAACAGCTCTCGAAGCAGGTGTGTCATCCCCTCTCGCAACCCCACCATCTCTCCCTCCTCCTCCACCTCGTCTCCTCGCTCCACCACCCACTCCCATATTCGTCGCAATTCCGTTCTGCAGCGCTACCCCCTCCCGCCCTGCACGCACAGCAGACCCAATCAGCACTCTCCAAACAGCCATCGCCCCTTCACCCACCATCACGCCCTCATCCCCTCCTCCCTGTGCCTTCTCCACCACTTTCCCCCCACTTTTCCCCCTCCCCTTCTCCCCCCCGCCCCCCCTCCCCCTCCCACCCACCCCTCGCTCCCCTTCCTCAGCAGCAAGGAGACTCAGAGCCGAGGGGGAGAGGGAGGAGAAGGTGGTAACAGCATCGATAGCTCGGTCAAAGGCAACGGTGTTGAGAGTGAGGTCTAGACGAAGGGGCTGGTCCATTTGAGCGAGCGTGGCAACGTCTTGAGGTTCCATCACCACAAGAAGGTACCTGGAGGGTGGAGGGCAGGTGGTTGTGGGGTGGTTGGGGAGCGGAACAAGGGGGGAAGAAGGAAGGGATTGGTCCATTTGAGCGAGCGTGGCAACGACTTGAGGTTCCATCACCACAAGAAGGTACCTGGAGGGCAGGTGGTTTAGGGGGTAAGAGATGGCAAGGACGCAGTGTGAGAAACTGAAGTGTTGGTTTGATTAGAAAGATTGTGGGTACATATAGGAGATGAAAAGTATGGGGAACTAGGTTGGGTACCCGCGACATTATTGGTGAGCCAATGGGAGTGGCCACCAATAATGTTTTGGAGGTGACCGCCAATTATTGGGGGGGGGGGGGCAATAATGGTTGGAACGAACCAACCAATGTTGGTTCCCCCCGCCAATTGCGGCTGAGTGGGGCTGGGGTGCACCCAACCAAAACTGGTTGGGTCGTCTTGGCCCAAAGTGTACACCCATGTTTACAACCCAACTGATGCTATAATCTAACACGCAGGGGTGGTTATAGGGGAGAGCGTGGCAACATCTTGAGGAGTCATCACCACCAGTAGGTACCTGGAGGGTGGAGGGCGGGTGGTTGGGGAGCGGAACAAGGGGGGAAGAAGGCAGGGATGGGTCCATTTGAGAGAGTGTGGCAGCGTTTTGAGGTTCCATCACCACCGGGAGGTACCAGGTGGGCAGGTGGTTGGTGGGGAAGCGAGAGGGAGAGAGAGAGAGGGGAGGAAAGGTGAGGAGAGGAAGCAAGGGGAGGCGAGCGCAGCAGACTGAGGCGGCGAGGGGTGAGGTGATGTGAGGTGAGGTGGGGTGAAGTGCGATGAGGTGAGGGTGCGGTGCGGGGGCTGCGCGGTGTGGTGAGGTGTGACGCTCTGTGACACAGGGCGTCACAGAGGTGAGAGAGTGAGCGTGTGGAGCAGTCAAGTCGAGGCCACGAGGATTGAGGTGAGCAAGAGACACGCAGGCGGCATGCGTACCTGCGAGCTCTCTCCAGCACCACTCCTTCCAGCGAGTCATCCAGGTCAATGGAGTCAACGCTGCAGGGATTCACCAGCACCAGGTCTCCCTGCCCACGCATGCATACATGCATGTGCACATGAGGTGGAGCATGGCGTGGCATGGCAAGGCATGGCACCGCATTGCAAGGCAAGGCATGGGAAGGGAAAGCATGGCGTGGTAAGGGTGCAGTAGTTTCTGAAATTGAGTGTATGAGAGGAACTGAGTGATGCCTGCATGGGCTGGGGGGCTGCAAACATGCGATGGCACTGGTAGGAACTACATGAAAAAGCGGAGGAGAAGAATGGTATGCACGGGCATTGGACCATCACAGATTTGACTGCAAGTGTGTGTGTGTGCACCTGGGAGAGCAAGTGATGTTGAGGCAGCAACCCATTACCCACACCACCACCACCGCCGCCGCCACCAGCACCACTGCCCGCACCGCCCGCACCGCCTGCACCCCTGCTCGTACCACCACTCCTCCCTGCGCCGCCTGCACCCTGCCGTGCGTGCGGTGGCGCCAATGTGAACTGCACTATACGCTTCCTGCATCATGCACACGGTAGGTAGGTGGGTAGGTGTGTAGGTGGGTAGGTGGGTAGGTGGTGGGTACGTGGGTAGGTAGGTAGGTAGGTAGGTAGGTAGGTAGGTAGGTAGGTAGGTAGGTAGGTAGGTAGGTAGGTAGGTAGGTAGGTAGGTAGGTAGGCAAGCAGGCATGGGCCACACTAGTGCATGTAACGCAACGCGCAAGGTGGTAATTATGTGAGTGCGCTCACACACACAAGGCAGTCAAGGCAGTGCGTGTGAGTGACGACACACGCGGCGCGATACAGGCAGGAAGGCGAAAGCAGAAGAGAAGATCAGGCAGAAGGGGGCATGAGGGAGAGCATGTGGGAGCAGGAGGGGGAATGAGGGAGAGCATGTGGGAGCAGGAGGGAATGAGGGAGCAGGAGCAGGCATGTGGTGACAGCAAGGGGCATGTGGGGCAGGAGGGAATGAGGGGCGCACTTGAAGAATCGGCCCTTGGGCGAGGCGGAGAGGTTGAGGAGCGCAAAGCCCTCCTCTGCCAGGCGCTGCCGAGACCACCCCCCCATGCGCTGCTGCCATGCTGCTAGCTCGTCCTCCTGCCCCGTGCACAGACGAAGGGGAGGAGGGGGAGGAGGGGGAAGAGGGGGAGCGGGAGGAGGGGAGGGGTGGGAGAGAGGGGAGAGGTGCGAGTGGGGAGAATCCGAAAGTGGGGAGAGGTGTTCCCCTGAAGTATTCTCAGGAGCAGTCAACAGTGGGAGGTGTGTGGGTTGTGTCAGTTAACAGCAGTCAGCAGGGAGTCATCTCCTCTGTATGCACTCTCCTCTCCTCTCGCTACAGTCACTCGGTCTGCAGCATACTCGCTACAACCACCACCTCCTGTGCAGTGCATACGCGTTATAGCCACCTATCTCCTGTGCATCCTCGTTATTGTCACCTTCTCTGCAGTGACAGCAGCCACGTAGTGCCGCCTGTATGCCTCTGCTACTGCCATCTGCTCCTGCCTCTTCGCCCCTCTCTGCCTTGTCGCCCCCTTCATCCCACCCTTGCCCCTCCTCCTCCCCTTCCCATCCCCCTCCTCGTTCTCCTCCTCCTCGTTTTCCTCATCCTCTTCCTCCTCCTCCCCACTCTCCTGCCAACTTGGGCCTACCACTGACCCTCCACCCCCATCGCCTAGCCAGCTGCTGCCCCTGCCACTGCTGCTGAAGCTTCTCCCGTTCCCTCTCCCACTTCCCCATACTTCTCCTCCCCGTTCCACCCATCTCTCACCACCACTCCGTGCAGCGTTGCAAGTAACAACTCCAACCCCACCACCACCACTCAATAAACCAATACCACCACTATCACACCCACACCCACTCCCTCCACCAGTCCCACCACCACCACGGCTTCCCCTGCTACAGCTGCTGCTGCTGCCCTTGAGCCCACCACTCGCGCTCAAGATCGAACGGCCGGAGGACGGCGAGGGGGCGTGGAGGGATGCGAGGCGCGGAGAGATTGACCGCCCCCCCGTGGCGCAGCATATTGGTGCGGCGGAGGAGGCGGCTGAGGACGCGGCGGAGGTGGCGGCGGATTGACGCACTGTCGAGGGCCAGCAGGCGCGGCGCGAGTCGAGAAGCCCGCCGCGCGTGAGCTGCTGCCAGCTGCACACGTGGCACGGCCCTCGGTAAAGCGGCGCCGCGCGGATGTACATTGCAGTGGCCGATCGCGGCGCGGAGATTTGATTTGGCACCAGAATCACAGAAAATGAGGCGGCGGCGGCGGCGGCGGCGGCGGCGGCGGTGGCGCCGGTGGCGGTGCGAGGAGAGACGCGAGCAGGCAGAGCGAGAAGGAGAGGATCGCGGGTGCGGGAGGGGAGCCGCGGCTGTCGCGAACCGCGGAGGAGGCAGGAGAGCAGAGACGCGTTGCCGTTAGCGGCGCTCATCTCGAGTCGCGTGCGCAGTGGCCGTTACCTGGCCTCACCTTCCCCCGTGCTGTCGCGTCTGAATTCTGTTGCCCAGCTTTTTAGGCGCTAACAACCAGTTTGCTTTCATTCCTCAATTTCTGACACAGAAATTTGAAACGTTGTGAGTTGGGGGGGAAAATGGGACAATGATAAGGAAAATCGGGTGCTTATTGCAATTACGAGGTACAGTACACTCTGCACCCCCTTATCTTTCCCATTCGTGCAATCCGCTGTTGCGGTTCGAACAATTATCGCGTATATCAAGGTTTGTGCTTGAATCCTTCGAGATCTCCAGGATCGCCACATGCTCACCGCGAATGAAAATCTATCTGTGCTGATCGCGAAGGCATCTGCAGTCGCACAGTCGTTTCGCAGGAACGGAAGCCTCAAGGTTCAGTGCGACCGCGCCGGGCTATACTGAGATTGTCGACAGTGCCAGAAGAAGGAAACGGGGTGCCACAAGTCGGCCGGGATCTCTGCACCAAAGGCCGCGTATGAACGATCAGAGTCCGTGACATTCCCGGGATTGTGATACTCTCGCGAATTGTTGACGACGAATAAGACAAAAAAAAAGTAAGGAAGAAAAAGGCGCCGCGTCGGGAGGGAGCACGCGCGACGGCGACGGCGGCGGCGGCGGCGGCGGCGGCGGCGACGGGAGAGTGGCAATGGCGACGGCGCGCGAGCGGATCAGGCTGGTGCTGGGCCGACTCGTGGCGGCCGCGCTCCGTCGCTCCGGGATTATCTGGTAGGGTCTGGCTGTCCGGCATTATTTGGTATACTCTCTCTCTCCTTCCCCTTCGGCGTCCCTCTCTCCTGTGCGGGCATCAGCGCTATTAGCGTGACAGTGGGTCTTCTTCTGTTGCTGCTGCTGTTTTGGGACGCCTCAAAACTCTCTCCCACTCTCCTCCACTCTCTCCTCCTCGGCATCCCTCTATCTCCCGTGTATTCACACAGCGCCGTGAGCGTGACAGCGGGTCTCGTGCTGCTGCTGCTGCTCCCCGCCCTCAGCGCACCCACCTACGTGGACGAGAACGCGCTCATGCCAGGTGTGCCCTTGCCACGTCACGCCATCCTTACACGTCAGCATTATCGAGAACATTCACATGATCATGATCACTGTTGTTGTCATCCGTCACCGTTGATGAGCATCACCATTGTCATCCCGCCTCAACTGCTTGTTCAACTGCTTGTTCAACTGCTTGTTCTCTGCCCTCCTCTCACCCACTCCCTCATTCCCTCACCTTCCCACTCGCTCACACTCTCACCCAGTCCTCTCCCTCCTCCCCCACCCTCTCTCTCCCTCTCTCTCCCTCTCCCTCTGTCCCCTGCCAGGCTCAGCATCTCCTCGGTATTCCGAATCCGATGCCCGCTACGCCATTGCGCTGCTGCAATCGCTGCACACCCACAGGTAACTCCGCCACTGGTAACTCCGCCACTGGTAACTCCGCCACTGGTAACTCCGCCACTGGTAACTCCGCCACTGGTAACTCCGCCACTGGTAACTCTGCCACAGCATGTATACACAGCAGGTAACCCCTCGCCATCTCGCGGCTGCGATTGCCACAGCATGTTTTCACGTGTCTCTCTTTACTGCACTTGTCAGCAAACCTGCTCAACCCTTCCACACGCCACCGCACTCCTCTGTACTGCCCCCCCACTCCTGTGCTACTGCAGGGCTACCCACATCTGTATGCGCTTTTTCTCTTCGTGCCACATCGCCCCTGTTTGCACCGCTCAAATCTTCTCCCCTTCCTCTCGCCTTTACGCATCCCCCCACCCCTTTCTCTTCTTCCATCCGATCCCCCTACGCGCTCTCTTCCTCCACCTGCTTCCCCATCGTTTTTGCATTTTCTTGCTTCTTTCCATCGCTCCGTCTCCCCGCAGGGGTTCGTTCGACAAGTGGATCGCACACCATCTGCGAGCCTTGCAGCTGCCCCTCTACCCACACACCTGGTCCCCTTCCTCCTCTCGCCTCACACGCACCCGCCTCTCCACCCACCACTCCGATGGTGATGGTGGCGATGGTGGTGGTGGTGGTCATGGTGATCAAGGGATGGACGGGGCTGAGGGGCAGGTGGAAGCAGCAGAGAGTATAGCAACGGTGCTCAAGTCCCGCCAGGGCTACAGCGACGAGGCCTTTGTGCTCGTCACGCCCTTCACTCGCCTGCGCCCCTCCACACACACCACCAGCCACACCAGCAGCAGCAGCAGCAGCAGCAGCAGCAGCAGCAGCGAGGGCGCCTCTCCCTGCGTGTCCCCATCCGACGCGCTCTCAGTGGCCGTGACTCTCTCTCTCCTGCGCCTGCTGTCCCAGGCGCAGTGGCAAGCCAAGGACGTGGTGTGGCTACTCGCAGATGCTCGCTACGGCGCCCAGCCCGCTGTGCAGCAGTGGCTCAAGGAGTACCGTGGTATCGACCCTCCATCTATCTCCGCTTATACATGCGCTGGCAGCTGCAGCAACGGCAGCAGCGGCAGTGGCGGCAGTGGCGGCAGTGGCGGCAGTGGTAATGGGAGTGGTGTGAGTGGGGGTAGAGCGAGTGGGCAATCGTTCCACTCGTCGCAATCCTCCTCCTCTCTTTCTCCCTTCGCCCCTCACAGCATGATGATTGCAGCTGTGACCCTCCAAGCCAGCCCTGATTGGCTCGGAGGCCCCGTCGATTCTCTCGAAATCCGGGCAGACGGAATCAACGGGCAGATGCCAAACCTCGACCTGCCCGCCACGATCCAGAAAATCTCCGCTTGGCTTTCACTCAAACTCTCCCTCCAACCCCCTCCAGACCTCCCTCCCCCTCTCCTCCACCTCCTCCCTCCCGCAACCCTAGACCTCCTCTCAACGGCCGTGTCCCGCACTGCAGAAGCGCTTTCAACCCTGGGCGCATGGCTGGAGAGCGTGGGTGTAAAGGGCGTGATTCTAGGCGGGCGTGAGTTTGAGGAGGGGGCGAGGGGCCTGGCTCGTGCGCTCTGGAACCAGCTGATCGGGAGAGCATCCGGCACACACGGGGCATTCAGGGAAGTACAGGTTGACGCAGTCTCTCTCACAGTCCTGCCGCAGGGGTACCTTGGCGGGAGCGGGGGCGGCTGGGGAACCGCAGGGGGAGGGGCGGGGAAGGGAAAGGGGAAGGGGATGGGGAAGGGGAAGGGGAAGAGCAAGGGGAAGGGTCCAGGGCTGAGGGTGAACGTGCAGGCAGATGTGTCATCATACGTGCGGCTGGGGATGCTGCTGGAATCAGTTATTCGGTGCTTCAATAACCTGTCTGAGCGGCTGCATCACTCGCACTATTACTACCTGCTGCTCTCTCCCACGCGCTTTGTTCCCATCTCTAAGTTCATCATCCCTATCGCACTTCTCCTCCTCCCCTTCCTCCTCCACCTAGCCTCCATCTGCTTCCCCTTGCCGCCACCCGCCTCTGCCTCCGCTTCTTCCTCCTCCTCCACCTCTTCCCCTTCCTCCTCCTCTCTCACTCCCGCTCCCCGCACGTCGACCCCTGCCCAGCCTCCTCCTTCCTCCGCTCCCACGCTTCCCCAAAACCCCGCCCTCCCGCCTCCCCCCTGCCCATGCCTCGCTCCTCCTCTGAGCCCATCCTCCCCGCCCCGCACATGCCCAGTGCATTTCTCCCCGAAACAAGCAGCCAATACAGCAGCAGGTGTGCAGGCAGCAGCTCTCGTGTGCCTGCTCTTCCTTTGGGCTGCCCTCGTGGCCACCATTCCCCCGCACTTGCAGCACCTCTCAGACAGCCTCCTCTCGTCCCCGAATCCCCTCCCTTTCGCCCAACTCCTCTCCTCACTCCTCCCCATGCTTCCCCCCTCTCTCCTGCTCTCACTCCCCTCGCTCCCCTCATTCCTCCTCCCGATGTTTCTCCTCCCCACGAGCCCGTCTCACTGCTTGCTGCTGTGGATAACCACCACTCTCTCCTCTCTTGCCCTTGCCGTTTCCCTCTGGTGGTCTATCATCTGTCCTTCTGTCGCTAGAACCGTCTGCTCCCTAATCTCCGCCCCTTCACCGAATCTCACCGCAGCCTATTCCGCCCAGAACCGCCCTGCACCACTTCCCACCGCCGCCAACCCCTCCTCCTCCTCCTCACCACTCCCGTCCTCCTCCCACCCGTCCTCGTCCCCGCCGACCATATCCCCATCCTCCTTCTGGCTAATGGTTCGAGCCCTATGCCTAGGCATCGTGGGGGTGACTGTAGTCTCAGCCAGCTGTAGCAACTTTGCAGTGGCTTCCCTCTCTGCTGCACTGCTCTTCCTCCTCTGCAGCCTCATTTCCAAGCGACCCAGCTCCCTCCTTAGCCCGCCAACCTGCATTCCCCACATTCAGCCCATGAGAAACACAAGCACATGCACACACACCCCCTCCGCTGCTGCTGCTTCTAATCAAAAGTGGTCTTCCGGTCAGTCTCTTGCGATTGCACTTGCAGTGGCGGCAGCAGCTGCTGTCGCTGCCTCAGTTGCTGCAGTTATGTCTGGTGCTCACAGCAGGTATCCTGTTGAGGGGTCTGCTGCTGTGGGAATGGAAGCAGGTTTGGGTGAGATGTGGGAGCTAGTGAGTGCTGAGGGGTTCTGGTGGTGGGTGGTGGAGAGTGCAGTGCAAGGAACTGCTCTCTATGGCATGGTGTTCTGCATATTGCTGCCTGTGCTGGTCATTGTCGTTGTTAATCTGCTTGCTTGCATGCGCTTCGCTCTGTCTCCTTCATAATGTGCTTCGTTCCTGTACTGGTATCTGAGAAGGCCTTAGCTCTGTACAAGTTGGCTGGATATGGTTAAAACAATGACAACGTATCTACTGCAGGGCTCTCCTCTTCCTCTTCCTCTTCTTCCTCTTCCTCCTAATTGCTATTGCTGTGGGCGCATTTTGGCAGTGACCCTGATTATGCAATGGTTGTTCCCTGACGAACAAAGTGTCTGAATAATTACACCCTGCTTCATTTTTTCCGAAATTGTATCCTGGCCAGAGAGGTTAATACAAAAAGTACACTGAAACATAAACCGACGTTATGTTACGATAATGGTTAAGGGTTAACATTCCTGTACATAACAAGGTCAAGGCACAATCGAGTATGAAGACGAAAGGGCGACATGACTCCAAGAGACGTGAACAGTTGGAGCGTCTGGACCATGAGCGACAGATACACCTAACCCGCGCTAATTTCAAACCCATAAATGTCAAAACATATTGTTATGTTCTTACTCTAGGTTGTGTAGGGTCACACCTTAGAGGGTACAACCCAACTCTCTCGACACTCTTGTACCCCCTCTCCCTCACCTAATCATCATTCCTCACCTAGCTACTAGTGATTCTAACAATAAATTGGACGCTTGTGGGTAGCTACCCTTATTCTTTCTGGGTCCAAGGGTTGAGCAGAGCAATATATATATATATATATATATATATATTAAGTGGGTAATGTTTCGGACCCCTTTCAAGTACGAGGACGCAACGGAGGTCGCTACTGGAAAAATGGCTCGCGCGAGTGGGTGGTGAGCCTGATCCACTGAGGGATTGTTTTTTTTAGACTACCGATGAGGAAAGCATGTTCATATCCTTTTGATTCTGGGTGTCTGAAAGATACAGCCGAATCTGGTCTAGGGTGGCTCTGTAATTTTATTTTTCAGGGCTTGAAATTAGCGCGGGTTAGGTGTACATCAGGCAGATGCATCAGCAAGGAAAAGGGCGGGAACAGGCTCAAATCAGGTTCCTGCGTTGCGCCGCACGGTTGAGTTTCTGCTGTAATAAAGGAAGGTACCAGTACCTAGTCCGGGCCAGGGGCATTTTGTCAAGGGTAAAATACCCTGATTGCCCTTTCTAAAACCCATTTTTTTACGATTACCCTGATTTTGAAAGGGTGGGCGATTTTGTACCATTTCTTCAAAAGTGTGAAGTTCTTTCTACCCTGTCAAAATCAGTGAGCGCTGATTTTTACCCTTATGTGTCAGAGTACCTTCGCCTCTCCCAGCCCCACTCTCCCCAATTCCCTAGCACCTCCAGCACAATTCTCCCCATTTTTCGCACTTATGTCAAAGTACAATATTACTTGTAGGCTATAGTGGGGCACTCCTTATGTGGTACAACACTTCTAGGGTTAGTACTTGTACCCCAACTCTTGCTCATCCTATCATTCCTGCACAGATTATTCTGACATGGTTTCAGAGCAGGAAACCTGTTAAGTTTTTTAGGGCCCACCGATAGTTCCGTTCGTTCCTGCCCGAAGCGCCCTTGCGCTGTCCGGCCCTGCTCGCACAGTGTCGCGCTGCCCTGCAGCTACTCGCACTGCCTGCCCTAGCGCGCTCCCCTATTGCAGCCTGCGAGTCGCGCCCTGCTGCCCTGCCCAGCGCGCGCCGCCCTGCCCTGCAGCCCGTGCATCGCGCTGCCCTGCCCTTAGGCCCGCGCGCCGCCCTGCCCTGCAGCTCGCGAGCCGCGCTGCCCTGCCCTTAGGCCCGCGCACCGCCCTGCCCTACAGCCCAGCGCGTCGCGCCCTGCTGCAGCCCGCGTGTCGCGCCCTGCAGCCCGCGCGTCGCACCCTATTGCCCCGCGCGTCGCGCTCTGCTGCAGACCGCTCGTCGCGCCCTGCTGCTCCGCGCGTCGCTCCCTGCAGCCCGCGCGTCGCACCCTGCTGCAGCCCGCGCGTCGCGCCCTGCTGCCCCGGGCGTCGCGCCCTGCTGCAGCCCAGCGCGTCGCGCCCTGCTGCCCTGCCCAGCGCGCGCCCTGCCTTGCCCAGCCGCGCCGCCCAGCCCTGCCGAGCCGCGCCGCCCAGCTCGAGCCGCCCTGCCCAACCCGAGCCGTGCCGCCCTGCCTCACATGCCAGCCCCACCGAGCCGCCCTGCTGCTACTACTGCTGCTGTTGCTGCTGCTGCTGCTGCTGCTGCTGTTGCTCGTGCTACTGCTGCTACTGGTGGAGGTGCTGCTGGGAGTGCTGGAGGTGCTGCTGGTGCTGGAGCTGCTGGAGGTGCTGCTGGGAGTGCTGGAGGTGCTGCTGGTGCTGGAGGTGCTGGACCTGCTACTAACCGTCACTGCCTGTCATGGCCACTATCACAGTAGTTGCAGCGGCCAGGGGTGGACAGCAGCAATCATTGCCTCTCCAGGACGACCCCACCCCTCAGCAGCTTCGTGAGTGGGTTATTCAGCGAGGCAGTCCTGGTGGTGGAGGTTTTGGTTTTATGGGTACTGCACAGCGGCGGCAGCAGCGTCCGCAGGGCACAATCTCCCTGAAGCGGCCTCGCGACTATGCTTCTCAGCGATGCGTCCCTGGTTGTGTAGAGGCTGCTCCTCTCGGTTCTAGTGAGTCTGACGCCGCTCCAGGTGCTAGTGAGTCTGCCGACGCTCTAGGTGCTAGTGCGTCTACTGCCACAGGTCCTGCCTCAGCTGAGGCCTTGTACACTTTCACACCTGACTCAGGCGCGTCACGTTGCTTCTTTCGTGATAGCACCACAGTCACACCACTCTCCCAACCGCCGAGCCCCATTTATCCCACATCCCTCGCCACTCCCCGCTCAACCCCCCCCCGTTTCCTTCGCATCTCCCAGCCCCTCCCCACAATTCCCTCTCCACTCTCAGCCCCAATTTCCCCATTTTCGTTACAAATCAGGGTGCTCAAAAGTTTACCCTGATTTTGACAGGGTGGAAGAAAATTTACCCTAACAGGAAGGGTGACGTCATCAAGGCACCCTGATTCCCAAGAGTGCCCCAAAACCAAAAATAGGCCCTGGTCAGGGCTCTCGATTGGTTTTGGGCCAACCTTTCTAATCAGGGTTCTAGATAGTCCCAAATCTGATTCATATGGTAAAAAAATTCGTTCCCTGACAAATTCAGGGTAAAAAAACTATTAGTGCTGGGTAATTTTTTTGGTAGACGTCTTATATCTATAGATAAATGCCAAAGTACACAGTTCAACACAGGGGATCAGCTGGTACGATCACGTCTTATATCTGTAAGGTCGCATGTTCGATTCTCGTTGGTAGGAGTATTTTGCAGGGGCTAGTATGATGTTTCGTCTCGCTACGGAGCATTCGGTATCAGCATAACTGTGATCGCACCCTGTACATTCAGAGAAATAAATTCTTTACGTTGTTTTTCAAAGGGTTAAAAAAAACCTACACTTTCTGGCCTAGGGTAAAAATCCCACTACCCTTCCTGGGAAAGGGTAACTGAAAAAAGCGGCCGCCAGAAAGGGCAAAAAGGGCATTTTACCTTGATATCGAGAGCCCTGCTTAGAGTACACGGCTAGCTAGGTCGTTTCGTATTCCCTGTATTTGATATATAAATCTGTGTATTCCTTTGGATTATATATTGCACTGCCAGCGTCAGCAAGCTGACCGCAGGCAAGGAAAAAACTAAAACCCACTCGGAAGGCATGCCATTCGGGAGCCTCAACCCTCAAATGTCAACGGTAGCGCCGTCTAGCACTCGTCTAGCCCTACCGAGCACTACCGACGCTAACAAGTGCAATATATTGTTGTAATTGTCATTTTACATTCACTCTGACACGTGTTATGGGTCAAACAGAGTTGCGCGGAAAACGAATACCGATATCGAAGCTGTGACTAAATGAACTGACGATACAATGAAGGACGCGACACAATTTAATGACTACCCTAGCTAGGCGGGAACATCGGGCATGCGAGGTTGGGTGCTGGTTGGGCAAGGGAAATCCGAAGGCGACGCGAGGTAGCCTCGGAATCGTAGGCGTCGGTCGAGCGTGCAAGTCCGAAGGTTGGGGCTGTACGCGAAGCAGTCAACCCCGATAAGGAAAAGGGACTTTCATTACCTCCCCCCCCCCCCCCCCCCCCCCCCCCCGCCCCCTATTGGGAAATGCGGCCAATATTGTCAAACTACATATACATATATATATATGTGCTAGGCTATAGTGAGGTATGCTGTAGGGAGTATAACATTAGGGTTGTATTTGTACCACCCTTGTTTCCTAGTTGATCATTCCGTTGTTCTTTCTTTGAAATGGTATCACTCTTAGGTTTCTCCTAGGACCTTAGCCTAGCCCGCCGTTCGACCTCGCCCCGCCCGCGCCCGTCCCGTCCCGTCCCTTACCCCCCTCCCCTCCCTCCTCCCCCCCCCCCAACAAATCGGTCGTCAGTCAGCTTGTGCACGGCCAGCCGCGCCCGCGTTGCAGCAAGCCAGCCGCGCACGTGCACAGCCAGCCAGTCGCGCACACGCACGGCTGCCCGCCCAGCAGCAACCGCACGCGCAAGCGCAGCTGCGCACATACCTACACCCGCGCGCGAAGCAGCAGCCGCACGCGCACCTGCACGCATACCCGCACGCGCAGCAGCAGCCACACGCGCAGCTGCAGCCGCACCCGCAGCTTCTACAGCACGCGCAGCTGCAGCCACACGCACTGCAGCAGCCGCACGCGCACCATCTCCCGCACGCGCAGCAGTAGCCGCACCCACCGCAGCCGCCGCACGCGCAGCCTCTGCCGCACGCACTGTCAGAACATTATATAGCTTATGCTGTTGTGTAGGCTATAGTGGGGTATCCCATAGGGGGTACAACCCAATTAGGGTTTCCTATATGTACTCACTTCATTCATAGTTCATTCATTCGCGTTCTCCTTTCCACATGGAATCAGAGCAGGTCCCCTCCTAGGGACTGTTTCTAGGGCCCACCGAAGCGCGCCCCGAGGCGCGCTTTCCTTTTTTTTTAGCGACCCTCCGTGTCGCCCCTAGCGGCCCGTTGCGCCGCCCTTACCTACGCGAGCCCGCCGCCCTTACGTCGCGGCCCAGCCGCCCTCACGTCGCGGCCCCGCCGCCCTCACCTACGCGGCCCCGCCGCCCTTAAGTCGCGGCCCCGCCGCCCTCACGTCGCGGCCCCGCCGCCCTCACGTCGTGGCCCCGTCGCCCTTGCCTACGCGGCCCCGCCGCCCTCACGTCGCGGCCCCGCCGCCCTCACGTCGCGGCCCCGCCGCCCTCACCTACGCGGCCCCGCCGCCCATAAGTCGCGGCCCCGCCGCCCTCACGTCGCGGCCCCGCCGCCCTCACGTCGCGGCCCCACCGCCCTTGCCTACGCGGCCCCCCCGCCCTCACCTACGCGGCCCCGCCGCCCTCACGTCGCGGCCCCGCCGCCCTCACGTCGCGGCCTCGCCGCCCTTGCCTACGCGGCCCCGCCGCCCTCACCTTCGCGGCCCCGCCGCCCTCACGTCGCGGCCCCGCCGCCCTCACTTCGCGGCCCCGCCGCCCTCACCTACGCGGCCCCGCCGCCCCACTTCGCGGCCCCGCCGCCTACGGTACCGGCCCCGCCGCCTATCCTCACCGGCCCCGCCGCCTATCCTCACCGGCCCCGCCGCCTACGACCGCCGAGCCGCCCTGCCGCCGAGCCGCCCAGCAGCCGAGCCGCCCTGCCGCCGGGCCGCCCTGCCGCCGAGCCGCCCGGGAGCCGAGCCGCCGAGCCGCCCTGCCGCCGAGCCGCCCTGCCGCCGAGCACTCAGTTGGGTCTTGTACCTGTCTTGCCTCACTTGCTCTCCTCTTGACCTTGCTTGTACTGTCACATATATATACCTGCTCTTGCTTGTCTAGCTCTATATATATATGTGTCCTCCTGCATGTGAACTGGCCTTGTGGCCTTGTCGTTGTGCTCGGACTGTGTGGTGACTTTGTGATCCACCCTGAGCTTGCTGTGCTTTGCGTGACTGGTCTTGTGACCCCTTGTTCTCCCCCACTTTGCCTATGGGGGTGTGTCAGAACATTATATAGCTTATGCTGTTGTGTAGGCTATAGTGGGGTATCCCATAAGGGGTACAACCCAATTAGGGTTTCCTATATGTACTCACTTCATTCATAGTTCATTCATTCGCGTTCTCCTTTCCACACGCACAGCAGCAACTGCCCCCGTGCAGCACCTACCGTGCCTCCCCTACCGGCTCACGGCTGTCCTCTTACCCGCACCTACCGCAGCCTCCCCTACCGGCCCGTGCTCTTGGTGACATCTTTCGCAGCGGCTGGAGGCCGCATCCTATCTTGGTTACTGGTGTTGTTCTTAGGGTGTCGTTCCACAGTGTAGTTTTAGGGCTTGCACACCACTCTTAGTCTAGCCACTCTGGCTTTCTTCGCTCCTCACTCTGACCGTTCCTAGACTCATTTTTTCTGGTGCCGTTCACCCTTTGTTCGCTTCTAGCTCTGGTCGTTCCTAGCCTTGCGTTCCTAGACTGGTAGCGCGCTCGCCATGTCGTCCAATCGAGTCCTGCGTTTCGATGCGGAGGGTAGAGCCCTACACTTTCCTACCTGGCTCCTCCATACCGAGCTGTACCTCTAGAGTCAGGACCAGGATAATGACACACTATGGGAGCACGCCTCTGGTGACCTGCCTTTGCCTCAGCGCCCAGCAGATCTGCCTGCTGAGCCTACTGACGCAGAACAGGAGCACTTTGATAAGGCCCGTACAGCTGTGTCGGTGTGTCACTCTTGTGACGCTGCGACACGTATTGCTCTCGGCAACCTTCTCCCCGAGACTGAGGAGGCCCACTTCAGCCAGGTTCGACCTGTCAGATTTATATGACAGAGCTACTGTAGGCTATAGTGGGGTAGCACATATGGGGTACAGTTTTCTAGGGTTTGCATTTGTACCCAACTTTGCCTTAGTCATTCTCATTCCTCGTTTCTTTTCATGGTATCGAGCAGGTTCCCTAGTGGGAACGATTCCTAGGGCCCACCACCACGAAATTTTTTTTTCCTGCCCGGAGCGCGCTTCGCTCAGGCCCGAGTCGCGCCCTGTGTGCTCCCCCTACCGTCGCGCCCTCGCTAGGCCCCTCACGGCCCCGTCGCGTCGCCCTTAGCGGCCCCCTCACGGCTCGTCGCGCCGCCCCCTACGGCCCTTCGCGCCGCCCTTACGGCCCTTCGTGCCGCCCTTACGGCCCGTCGCGCCCGTCGCGCCGCCCTTACGGCCCCTCGTGCCGCCCCTTACGGCCCCTCGCGCCGTCCCTTCCGGCCCCTCGCGCGGCCCCTTACGCCCCTTACGGCCCCTCCCGCGGCCCCTCACGGCCCCCTACGGCTCGTCGCCGCCCTCCGCGGCCCCGCCACCTACCTGTGCGGCCCCGCCACCTACCTGTGCGGCCCCGCCACCTACCTGCGGCCCCGCCACCTACTAGCGGCCCCGCCACCTACCTGCGGCCCCGCCACCTACCAGTGGCCCCGCCACCTACCCGCGGCCCCGCCACCTACCTGTGCTGGCCCCGCCACCTACCTGCGGCCCCGCCACATACCAGCGGCCCCGCCACCTACTAGCGGCCCCGCCACCTACCTGCGGCCCCGCCGCCTCCTCTCAGCGGCCTCGCCGCCTCCTCCCAGCGGCCCCGGACGCCGCCCTCTCAGCGGCCCCGCCGCGCCGCCAAGCAGCCGAGCCGCCCAGCCGCCGAGCCGCCCAGCAGCCGAGCCGCCCAGAAGCCGAGCCGCCCAGCAGCCGAACCGCCGAGCCGCCCAGCATCCGAGCCGCCGAGCCGCCCAGCAGCTGAGCCGCCGAGCCGCCCTGCAGCCGAGCCGCCGAGCCGCCCAGCACCGAGCCGCCGAGCCGCCCAGCAGCCGAGCCGCCGAGCCGCCCAGCAGCTGAGCCGCCGAGCCGCCCTGCAGCCGAGCCGCCGAGCCGCCCAGCAGCCGAGCCGCCCTGCAGCCGAGCCACCCGAGCCGCCCTGTCCGGTAAGAGCAGCGCCTCTTTCACAGCACTGCCCTCACCCTACTGTTTGCGCTGCTAGTCTACTGCTGTCATGGCTACCCCTAGTGTCCTCGCTTTTGACGCTGAGGGTCGGGCCATTGACTTTGACGTCTGGATAGATGACCTGCAGCTTTTCTTACAGTGCGACAGAGCAGACGGCCTCTCCCTCTTTGACCTCACTTCTGGTGCCTCCCCTGCCCCCGCTGCTGATGCTGACGCCACTGTTCGCTCACAGTGGGCCACGCGCGATGCTGCTGCACGTCTTGCTGTGCGTCGCCACCTGCCTACCTCTGAGCGTGCGCACTTTAGCCAGTACAAGAGTGCTCACACCTTGTACGACGCTGTAGTTGCGCGCTACTCCTCCCCTGCCACTGCTGCACTGAGCCGCCTCATGCTACCGTACCTCTTCCCTGACCTTGCTGCCTTTCCCACAGTCGCTGAACTCATTACGCACCTCCGCACTAGTGACACTCGCTACCGCGCTGCGCTTCCTGCTGAGTTCTGCGCCAAGAACCCCCCCCCCATGTACATCACCCTCTACTACATAGTCACCCGGCTCCTTGACTCCCTTCGCGTAGTCAGGGACCACTTCCTCTCAGTTTGCCCCACCACTCTCACCGTTGACCTCCTCGAGAAGTCCCTCTTAGCAGCAGAGAAGAGCATAGTCGCTGTAGGAGCCTCTCGTGGTGACCCTCGCACCCCCATCTTTGAGGGGTGTTCCCCCTCCCCCCGTTTGCCCTCTGTTGCCTCTGCTGCTGCGGCCGACCTCGTTGGGCTTGAGTCGGTCGGTGCGGTGTCTACCCCTAGCGGGAGACGCCGCCCTGGCAAGGGCAAGGGGGGCAGGGGCACTGGAGGAGCTAGCGGGGGCGGTGGAGGCGGCGGTGGAGGCAGTGGAGGGGGTGGGGGTGGCGGTGGGGGTGGTGGTGGGGGTGGAGGTGTCGGTGGCGGCGGTGGAGGCGGAGGCGGCGGCGGCGGTGGCGGTGGGAGCGGAGGTAGCGGCGGTGGAGGAGGCGGCGGCGGAGGAGGTGGAGCTGGTCGGGGTGGCGCTGCGCAGAGGGTCGGCTCCGGTGGTGTTCAGCGCCAGCAGCAGCAGCAGCAGCAGCAGCAGCAGCAGCAGCAGCAGCAGCAGCAGCGCACTCGTGACATCCCCCCCCCTCAGCAGCTCCGTGAGTGGTACGCTGCACGCCAGCGGGGTGGGGGTACTGGTCCGTGCACCTACGTCCTCCGCACCGGCGACCGCGCGGGTGACCAGTGCGGGGGTGCGCACTCCACCCAGCGCTGCTTTGGCCGCCTGACGGACGCTTGGCGTCACCAGTTCCCTGAGGCCACTGAGATCCCCCGCTGGGGTGAGCTGTCTAGGGCGGGTGTCGCTGTCTTTGACCTTGACTTTGATGCTATTCTTGCTGCTATGTATACTGTGACTATTAGTGATGAGGGTGACTGCTACCGGTGTTTTCCGCCCGACCTGGGCATTGAGACTGCTGCTCTAGGTACTGGTGAGGCTGCTGCTCTAGGTGCTAGCAAGGCTGCTGCTCTAGGTGCGTCTGCTCCCTCAGGTGCTGGTGAGTCTGCTCTCTCAGGTTCTGCGTCGGCTTCGGCCTCCCACACCTTCACCCTTGACTCGGGGGCTTCTCGCTCCTTCTTTCGAGACCGCACCACACTCACGCCGCTTGGCCGGCCAGTTGCGGTCTCTCTGGCAGACCCCTCTGGGGGTCCTGTCCTTGCTCACTTCTCCACTGT